TGCTATATATCGTGCGACTACGTGGGCCCTAATGCTCTGAACTCTGTAGAGCCCTCCTTTTTGAGGTCCACTACCGTTTAGGGCTTAGGGTTTAGGGATTAGGGTTGAGGTTTAGGGATTAGGGTTTAGGGACTCGGGATCAGGGTTTAGGGCTCAGGCCCCTGTACCCTAAAAACAGGCAACGCTCGCCGTGAACTCGTCGAGGAGAACATGCACCTCAACTCGAGAGCTTAGCGTGTTGGATCATTTGTGGGTTGTTATGGGAGTTTCCGAAAACAAGGGGTACCTCAATATGGGTGCCTTACAATAAGGATCCTACTATTTAGGGCACTATATTAGGGTCCCCTATTTTCGGAAACCCCCTTATGGTCTAGAACTTTTCAACTTAGGGTTCGTAGGGATCTAAGGTTTTGCAGCTTAGGGCTTGGGTTTAAAATTGGATTGATGCTTAGGGCCTAGCAACCAAAAACGGAGCTTTATTTTGCTTTTTGGTGTGTGTGTGTGTGTGTGTTAGGGTTGCTCTAAACCCTAAACCCTAAACGGCTCTGAAAGGGCTTAGTTCGCTAGTCGCTTTTTATGTGGTTTCCTTTAAGGGCTTTGGCAGTTGCTCGGCCGCTATGGCTTAAGGCTTAAGGCTTAGGGTTTAGGGTTTAGGGTTTACCGGCTTCAAGCCAACAAATACAGTAGAAGCCGGAAAGTTGGAACATCAGTATCTTCATGCCCTCAAAGGTGGAATATAGGGAATCCCAGCACTAATCACCCTAAAGCCATGATCCAACTTTCTGGGGTTCACCATAATAGTTGTCAGGGTCCAGCTGCACACGCAGTGGCCTACTGTGCCGTGGTGGGTTACGTATGCATGTGGGTCGTGTCAAAATTAGGGCCCCTTTTTGGGCACCGTAAATATTAGGTGCCGCATTATAATAAGGACCCAACAAGGGACCCTAATCTTGACAACCACCCATGTATACAGTATAGGACCCGAACACGGTAGCTAGCCGCATGGAAGTTTTGAACAAACACCTGTCCTACTGCCAGAAGGTAAGTTGTGCTTTTGGCTTTGGCTCGCAATGTTGTCGTAGTCTTCAACTTCAGAACAAGTACCCCAAAACCAGAAATCCAACCCCGCCCCCTAAAGAACAATACATCACCCAACACTGGGTGTTTCTTGGATGGCTTTCAGACTTCGCATACCGTGTCGCTTCTGAAGGGCATCCCAGGCCCTTAACAACGATGAAGCAGGAAATCTGAACGGCCGTAACTCAACCGAACCCTAACACTCCAAATCACTCTTTCGTAGCTGCTTTTCAATGGCATCGCGACCGTGCTAGTTGCAAACCACAAAAACCCCACACTTAAACTCTGATTTTTGGAGCAAGCACTGCCGATGGGAAGGTCTCATTTCTCATTCAGGAACTTAACTTACCTGTAGCCGAAAAGACCTACCCATTCAGACGTTCTTTTTTTGATGGTCATATATATATATATATAGTTCCTTAAAAGGGTAGGTCTTCTGGGCCATAGGTAGATTAAGCTACCATACCGGAATAGTTTGCACCCTCGTTATGGCAACGTACACTAGCTCCTTAATCCTAAACTCCAAACTGTGGTAACTTAAGTAAAGTTCCCTAAGAAGAACTCAGATTAAAGGACAGGTGAGCTTGTTCTCTGATACTAAAGCTGTTGTCAAAGGCTCCCAATAGGCTTTCAGAGTTGCGTATGGGGTTCTAGAGGCGTTCACCAGTGCTGGGGTAACTACGGCATGAGGCCTTGCAGTATTGAGGGGGTTTGGTGGTTCTAAAGCTAACCAAGGTTCACGGCGTGGGGATTCAAGGCCCAAAGGGTCCTATGCATTGTTATGGGGGATACCTTCCCAGATCATACTACGAATTCCTACTATAAACAACCCACATTCTACTATATGGGTACTTTGGGCCCTTTGGGAGGTTGATGGACCAGAATCTGAGGGTGCACACGCTGCAGGGCAAGCATCAGAACCCCTACTCAAAGCTTACGGTTGAGGGTTTGGCGGCATCTGAACCGCATTCGCCTCTGTGTTGCAATTCAACCAGAAACCCCAAAGTGGTTGGAGTGCCACTCCGTCAATCGTATGCAACCCAGTGTAATCCTGTAATCGACCCTACCATATGGGTCCAAAGTGCTTCATAACTATAGGGTCTTCCAGCGGCTTCATACGGGTTCCATGGGAACTGAAGGGTCCAAGGTACCCAGTAATGAAGTACTCGAGTTTAGGTTAATCGGCACTGCAGCTTCGCGTTTGAGGGGAGCATGTGATTCTCCAGCTGTTAGAGTCGTAGGTAAACTCTCAACCCACTGCATTGGCACAGAGTCCTTATGGAAGGGCCGTTTCTGAAAACAAAACTCGTAACCTGAACCCCCATGGACCACAAAATCCACTTTCTTTCTGCAACCCTGAGCCCGAAACCCGCAACAAATGTAGAGCTGTCCGCACAGCAGCCACGCACTAAACAAACGACTACTTATAGGGGCCATAATCATAATAATAATAATTAGAATAGGATTTGGGGGTATATTATAAGCTCTACTTATAACGAGGAGCCCCCAAACCCAAAAATAGTATGCATAATTACTAGGGGCCCTATATTACACGTCACCGATTGGGAAACCGTAAACCAAATCCTTGGCCTCGGGTTTAAGGAAGTAGCTAAAGCCCGGCAGGGATTCCTTCAAGCGTGCTTTGAAGGTGTTCGTTTGAGCCTGTTCACGGTTCCTCCTTATGATGATTTCCTTGCACAAGTCCTTCGAAGAGGAGGCTGGTTGAACCCGAAACCCCTAAACAGAAACCCAAAGCATAAACCCAAAACCCAAAACCCTGAATCCTTCCGTGGCGCGTGCTGCCATTGGAGAGTGCCCGCGCAGTTTCGAATCGCTTCGGTGTAGGCCCTTGCCTAAGTTTCCAGGACAGACCAGCCAAATGATACGGGGTTTTCCGGGTTTCAGGCTTGGGGTTAGATTAGGGTCCAAAAGGTTTAAGGTATAGGGGTTTGGGCTTATAAGGCCCTAAAACTCTTACAGCCCAAAACCGAAAAAGCCCAGCCCCAAAAACCCCAACACCCGAGAAAACCCCAAGCTCTAAGCTGATGTGCCTGATCCCAAGTTGCGAGGTAGTCTTGCGCAGTTCGAGGCGCGGGGCTGCTGGGTTTTGCTGCATGGCTGGGTAGCGAGCTGAGCATATTCTTGGAGCAAAAAGCAAGAGTTTCTGATTTCTCTGTAAGGGTTCCTTTTAAGAGCTCCTGGAAGGGCTGCAATTCAGTTTCGTGGGGCTTAGTTTAGCGTTGAGGGTCTAGTGTGATCTTACAGGCTCTTTTACGGGATACTTGAAGGGTGTGTTGGGATTCGGGTACATCAACGGTTCGTTTAAGGTTACCGTTACCTTTTAGCTTCCCATAAGGGTTCCTGACAGTTTTCAATCAAGGACGGGGTTCAGGTTATGGTTTAAAGGGAACTCCAGAAAGTTGGAATATGGTTTCAGGGTAGGATACCCTATAATTTACCATAAAGGGTTAAGGATAATCATATTCCAACTTTCTGGCCTTTACCTTAGGGTTTTGGGATGGAGAGGCGAAGGATCAGAAATCGACTCAATGTCCGTGCACTCGCTGCGCATGAACACCCAGACCTAAGATGCCAAGAACACCTACGAGGAACCAGGTTTCACAATGCTTCTAGACTCAAATAGCCCGATCTCTTTGCCTTCTGAGAGGCCCTGCGGTCTACTTGGAGGTTCATGGGTAGGTCCCCTAATAGGGGTTATGACCATCTGGGTAATTACTACTTATAGAGTTCAAACTAATTATTGTTATGCTTGGAGTCTTGGGTTAAGATCCGGTAAAGTCCTATCAACTTGTTGAGAAGGGAAACTGCTGAGAGGAAAGAGATCCTGATTTAAACTGTCGAAAAGGCGATGGCTGGCCGCACATGCGCACCACCTGAGCCAACGTGCCTGGAATCGGACGAAGTTCGCGCAACTACCCACCTGCCTACCTACCTACCTACCTACCTATACCTACCTACTTACCTTCCTAGCCACGTACATGTACGTAAATGTCTGTGCCTGTGCGAATAACATATATGTACACACAGACATGTACATCTATAAAGTCTCCCTAATTATCCGACCCCGTCTTAAATCAACCATGCTGCCCCAAAGGTGACATCGCCAATGCCAAGAAGCAATTCAACCCCGGACATGCTTAGGCCTTCAGGGTTTAGGCTTAGTCTCGGAAACTCCCACATCGAGCTCCCACATGGAACCGTTATAGTTGCCCTCATAGAACCCTTCAAAGGAGCCCTGTAAAAGAACCCTAGCCTATTCCCATATCCTGACTGGTTTCGACCTCAAGAAGCAGGTTTAGGATTCGAAGTCTGGGGCTAGGCCAGAAACTAAAAAACCCTTGGCAAGCATGGCTGGGGTTAGGACTTGCCAGTAGGTTCGAATGTGTACTTTTTTCGATGCTGCGCTACCCTCTTACTTTTTGGATGCGAACGCTTACTTTTTGTTTCATGAGTTTAGGGCCAAGGGCTTTTGGGGTTCAGTGCAAGGTTAGGGGTTTTATGCTCTGAGCCAATGCTCGAAATGATGCTAATTAAGTTCCCCTTCACAGTCGGGACGTCAACCACCTGCGCTGTCGACATCAGGTTCACGCCGCCACCATTCACAGCCTAAGAGAGGGTCAATCTTGCAGGTAGTCTGAGATCCCCTATCCGAAAGCTCATAATCAACCGTCGAAACACCCAAACCACCAAAACAGCAAGTCCCCAAATCCGAGAAGTGAGAATGAATTCTAACCCGAGGTTAGGCCCCCGCAGGTAGCAGGCAAGACCCGTAAGCCACTGTGTTCTGCCGCATGTACTAGACTTGCGCTGTAATTACACTTTCTCCAGACCCTAACCAACGGCAAAGGTATCCATAGATGAATCCGCAAAGCCCCAGGCCGGGCATTTCTGGGCCTTCGGGCATTGCTTGCAGGCTGCAGCTGTCTTGGCCTCTATTCGGAGGATCGTGGGACTTAGTAAGTAAGGGTATAAGTACCTTAATTGGGGTTATAAGTAGTTATATGTATAGTTACCTTATTTATAACCTTAGTTACTAAGTCCCATGATCCTTTAACAAAGCTGGACCCTAAGGGGTAGGAGTACAGGGGTTTATGAGGTTTTCATATGCCGTTCTTGGCATATATAATTTGAAGGCCCCAACGAGTCCTAAGTACCGAAAAAGAACCTGGGACCCTCTAGGTTCTGGATCTATGAGTCTTTGCCGGACGCAGGACTTAGAGTCCGTGTTTAGGATTTGAGTTGTGGCTCATGCTCGGTACATGGGAGCTGAGGTTCGGGATTCAAATCTACGGCGTGAAAGTCCATCATCGTGGGATTACCTTACCCAAAAGTCCCAATGCCCGTTCCCATTCACTAAGAAATGTAGCCGAAAATCAATTATAAGCTGGGCCTTTAAGTAACCAGGGAGCAAGAAGTATCAACTTGTATTTCATAATGGTCCCTTTAAGACAGAAGTAAAGTGTAGTACTCCAAAGCCCAGTTAAGAGGTTTAATGCTATGATTCAACGGATGCAGTCCTTAACGAATGGGGTTTGGGCTCGCTAGGTGTCCCTCTCAAGCCTTCCCCGCTTAAGGACGAGAATAAGGAGATCATATCCAAAAGGCTCCATGTACCCATACAGCTCTTACTTTGGCCTTAAAAGGGGTTCCTATATAGGTACTCTAAGGCTTAAGTATATAGCATATAGGTACAGAGAGCCTTAGGGGTAAGAATGAAGTAGGTTCAGTAGGATTCCGGTAGACTTCATCTTGGGGATGGCGAGTCTTAAGGCTTTGAGGTGGCTAGACCTTATAACAGATCAGCACCCTCCCTCTTAAACGGGCTTGGGGGTTGGGGTATAGGGTTCCTGGGACTGTTGGGCTTAGAGCCGTTGCGGGTCTTAGGGTTTGGGGAATCATAAGAAGTAAGGAACCATGCGAAAGTAGACCTTTTGGGCTACATGTGGGACTTTCGATCCTTAAAGTCTAAGGTGGAGGCAAGCCCCTAAACTCTGAACCCGAGTCTATTCCCCAAATGCGTAGCCCAAACTCCAAACCTGCAGCTTGGACAGAACAGCCGTAAATCGCAAACAGAGAACCAAAATGTATGAGCTACCGCAGCAGGCCCTTGCAACCCCAAGCCCATTGACAATTCCAGAAGGAAGACTATGGTAAGACGCTAAACCCAAAAACATAGCCCCATAACCTATCCAACGCACTTCCCAAGTGCACTGGGGCAGCGGGCACGTAGTAGAAGAGACCGGCGAGAACCGGAACCTTATGAATCTGCGGCGCAGGGAGGGGTATAGGCTTTGGAAATGGGTTTAGGGATTAGGAGGTTGAGGTTTCGGGATTATCGGGGTGTAGGATCTATAGGGTTTAGAGTGCAGGCGTTTAAGGGCTTCCGGCCACCAACACCACAACCAACAACAACAAACAAACAAACAATAACAAGTTGCAAGGCACTCCAGACTGTTGAAGCAAGAAGCGCCAACCTCTCGACCATAAGTCCTGCATGCACCCTAATCGTCGCCTGAAACCTAACCTTTGAATCCTGAAACCCTAAACCCGGTGAAGTCCTGTGGACCCCTAAAGGAACCCTAAGGGTCCAAGTATATGATAATCATATACTCTCTTAAATATTGAGCTACATAACTACTATCCTAAACCCAAGTACCTGATTATTGGGTCCTTTGGACCCTTAGGGGAATACTTTAATCCTATGTCAGGCACACTCAGCACCTCTTTTTCTCCACCCTGCTGCCATGAATTCGTCTGCCCTGGCAGCCACGCGGCTGAGCCTGGGTTCTTGTGCAAAGAACCCTAAAAACCCTAAAACCCCCAAAACCCTAAAAACCTAAAAACCCTAAAAACCCTAAAAACCCTAAAAACCCTTATAAATCCCTAAAACCCTATAAACCCTAAACCCTAAATCCCTAAAAACCCTAAAAACCCTAAACCCCTAAAACCCTATAAACAGTAAACCAGGAAGAGGCCAAGAGCCAGCGCAAGAGCAGGCTCGTGGAACCCGCTCCTTCGGAGGCCTCAACGGCCTGGGATTTCAGGCTCGTGTTTCGGGTTTTGGGTTCCTTTAAGGGCTCCTTGAAGGGATCCATAAGGGTTCCTTTAAGGGTTCCTTTAAGGGATCTGTAAAGGTTCCTTTAAGGACTCCTTGAAGGGATCTATAAGGGCACTTTAGGCCTTTCAGGGCGCCTTTAAGGGATCTATCAGAGCACTTTAGGGCTTAAAGTTTAGAGTTTAAGACTTGGGGGTTTAAGGTCTGGGGTTTCTTGAGCAAACTGAAAACCATAAACCCGAAACGCCAAAACCTTAAACCCTCCAAGCCCCCAACCCCGCGACATCAAACCCAACAGCCCTAAATCCAGAGGCCGACACCCTTGAAGGGCATCATCAGAAACCCTAAACCCCAAACCTCTAAACCTCCCAACCCCTAAACCCTAAACCCTTGAAGTGAACAAGAAAGAGAAGCCGGGTCGCTGCTGCATCAGTGATGGTCGTCGCCTCGAGCCTCAAAAGGAATCCGTCGGCTTTTCCCCGGTGCCCCTTTTCAATTCTAGGGAGTTTCTGATGGCTCCATGGCTTAGGGTTTTAGGGTTTAGGAGCATTTAGAGTTTAGGTTGTGTATCCAGTGTGGGAGAACCACCCCAACTATTCTCAAATAGGCTTTAGGGATTCGACACGTGAGCGGCCGCATTCTCGGCATTCCGCACCTGAGATGGATTCGTGTCGGGTTGGGGGTCCTCGCGGCCTGTGCCGGCCGCTCGATGAGAAGCAACGGTTTCCAACAAACAACCCGCTCCTCACCCCCTGTGAGGGTGGCTCGAAGTGTAGACAGCTCTGCTGGCAACCTGTGGCGCCTCCTGGGCACTGTGCCAGGCCCGAAATTGGGCAGTGCAGCGGAGCTCTCGGCAGTGTCGGATTTTGGCTGTGCGGCTGCTGGGCTTCAGACTTTTCAGGTGCTTTAGGGGAAAGCAGGGGTATATACGGGTGTTTCCGAGAAGAGGGGTACCGTATTTTGGGGGTCGGCCCTATAATAAGCATCCTACTATGCAGGGTAGTATATTAGGGTCCCCTATTTTCGGAATCTCCCATACATGAAACAAGACAAGCAGCCGCATCTGCAGAATGCTAACAGCAAGCCTTCTGTGTCCCTTGAAGGAACGAGTTTAAAGAAGCCCTTAAAAGGAAACCTTATAGAACCCTTAAAGGTCCCTTAAAGGAACCCTTAAGCTGAACCCAAAAACCCTGAGCCTAAACCTCTAAACCCTGAACCCCTATAAACCCTACACCCCAAAACCCTGTAAGCCCAAAGCTCTTAAAGCCTAAACCCCCGAAAACCCTAAACCCCTAAACCCTGAACCCTAAACTCCAAACTGAACCAAGCAGCCGGATCTCTTCCATTCCCGCCAAAAGCCGCATGACCCACTGCCATTGCGAAGCCCTGGAGCAGGCGCCTCGGCTCTTTCTTCCCTTTAAAAGAGGCACCCGTTGAAGGAGCTCTCAAATGAAGAAACCCTTAAGGGGACCCTATACCTATATATATATATATATATATATATATATATATATATATATATATATATATATATAATATTCATTAATTATGAAGAAACCCTTAAGGGAACGCTCTTAAGGCTTAGCGGTTGTGAGTTGAGGGTTTGGCATTTAGAGGCTCAAAAGTGGGATTTGGAATTCAAGGATTTAGGTTTGAGGCTTTCGGGGCAAGGGTAAACAGGGTTTGGGGGTTAAGACTTGATGGCTTAGGACCAGAACGACATTAAACCAACTGTTCCGTGATACTCATGCATGTCATGTCATCCAAAGGAGGCGGTACTGACATTACCAGCGCTGGGGCGTAAAACCCTATACCCTAAGGCTCCTGGATCCTTGTGGTGAGATGACAAACCGTAGCCCCCAAAGCCGGAACCCTCCCCCAGAAAGCCCAAGACCCTTTGGGGAGCCTTAGGGTAGACTCTAAACTCCAAATCGTCAACCTGTTGGCTTAGGATCGTGCTATGTCAATGTCTCACTGGCCCAAAAACCCAAGGAAATGAACGTTGAAACTTTCAGAATCGACTACCTTATAAGAACCCCCAAAATTGTGAAAAGTTGAGTTTACGGACAGTAAGATGTATATAAGGCTCTTTATGTTGTATTTAACATTTAACATTTATAGGCGTAAAGCTGGCCGGTTTCAAGAGAATAGAACTTCAAAGTGAGCGGCCTGAAATAGTACGTTAATTGATGTCGTAGTCTGCGACTGTGATACGTGCAATAGATACACCAGCAGTACAGTACAGTAGCATCCCGATTCAACGTACCTCAGAAAGGGACCCCCAAACTGGTGGGGCAGGCGACCAAGAGCCGCGTTGTAGGTCAGAAGGCTCTCGGGCAGGAGACCTTCCCCAGAAGGAAGGCCTTGCAAAACGTGGATTGCACACTGCCACCGTGCCGCTTTGGCACCTGGGACGCCGATCATGGATGCTGGAGCATAGGGTTGTACGGGGCTTTGGATTGTGACTTCGGGGTTTCGCTGGAAGAGGTTAGTCACGGTGAGTCTTTGGAGATGTGAGGTTGCCAGTTTTGGGGGTGTTTTGGAGCCGACACCTCATACCCCAAAAAACATGAGCACATATTTCCCGTCGGCTGTAGAGTTGAGGGATTTCTCTTCGAGCTTCGTACCCGGCCACGCTGCAGCACCTTCGTAATTGCCGGCATAGGCTGTTTATCCGTTAGGACCCTATAACGAAAAGCTAGGGCTCACCAAGGCAAGAAGGTGAGCACTGCCCCCATTCAGCAACAGTTGAAGATATCCATAGAAACGCGAGATCCGCAATAGTGGCCCCATTGCAGACTGTTACTGTATGGGGGCAGTACCCAAGCAACAAGAAAAACAACTGGAGCCGCAGCCCCTCCGTCTCCATTCTTCTTAACCCAAAGGGTAGGGATCGAAATAGCCCAAAAGCATTACATAGTGTGGTCTTTGGGCCCAAAAGCTTTAAAGTACGAGTCCTTAGATCCTAAGGGAAAGGGTAAGACGTACTGTTGTGGGGGATACTTCCCCACATCATCACGGTAATTCCTAATGTAGAAGCCCTGCATTCTACTTCATCGGTACTTGGGACCCTGTGGGTAAGCACCGAATGGGAGGTCCCGAAAAGCCAGAAACCATCATCCAAGAGCCTGTAAGATATTGAATGTATTGAAAGGTCTTCCTTGTCACGGTTGTGTAGACTTCTTTACGATATTTATGGTGTTGTACAGGATGTCGAAAGGAATTGAATTGAGAACGTAACTTTGGGGTTCTCCTAAGCCCTTCACCCTGTAATCGACAAGTCCCAAGCCACAGTTGGTTCTGAGTTAATCACGTCATATATTAGGATCCTAAAGGTTAAATCAACGTCAACAACGAACCAGAATGGAGACTTTAAGTTCCTGATGGGGCATAGGTTATACCTGTGGATCCAAAAACCTCCCGTTTTGAGGGCCAGACCCTCTAATTAAGGGGTCATAACCTACTATTTTATGGGGCTTGGGGCTACAGGTAAGATGACCAAAACAAGGAACTGCGACGGAGACGATAGGCTCATGGTAGGGTTTAGAAATCAAGCTGCGGGGGCGATCCCTGAGGGTCCATGTACCCAAATTGTAATTATATACATAGCCTTAAGGCTCCCGGACCCTTGCAGTGAGATCCCGGACCCTAGCCCCAAAAGCCGAAACCCTCCCCCAGAAAGCCGAAGACCTTCTTTGGAGCCTTAGGGAGAACCCCCAAAGCACCAAAATAGGGACTAATTTAAGGCCAAAGTATATACGTATTACTTGGGTACATGGGCCGTTATACTATACTCTCAACCCTAGAAGACTCGTATAGAAGCCTCGAAGGAAACCTCTAAAGGAACCCCCCTTAAAAAGAACCTATTTGGATACATGGAGCTGGGGAAAATGAGGTTGGGACGCAACTCCGCAAAGGTGCAGGCACACACCGTTGTCAGCCGAGAAATGCCATCTGCCTGCTTTGGCTTGAACCACCGCGTCCCCCAAAATCTCGTTCCTGAAATCTTAAACCTATACACCTTAAACCCTATACCTTAAACCCGTGGAGTCTTGCCAGGATGTGGGGACTTGCAAGAGCTCCGTAGGAAACCTACGTGAAACTCGGAGAGGAACCCTCGAAGGAGCCTTCATAAAGGGGATACCCTAAACGAGCCCTTTCTCGGAGCTCATTTTAAAAAGCAGTGAAGATGATGTGTTCA